TTGGCTTTGCCCACATTTTGAATGATAATTTCTCCTTCGCCCGAGGTTCGCCATTTTGACCGCATGGGTCCCGGTCGCCATGTGAAGTGGCCTTTCCACTTCCATTAAAAATTATATTGGTAGCATACCTTTGCGCTTGCAACTGTGGAGCCCTGGTGCTCCGCCGGCGCGGCTGCCGGCCAACGCTCCATTCCAAGGAGCCCTAGCGCTCCCACGGCGGGCAGTGCTGCTGCTTGCTTCTCGCGGAGCCCGGCGCTGATGCCGGCCAACGCACTATGGGCTGGCATCAAGAAAAGGTGGCCAAAAGTCGGTTTTGGAACTGGGAACAATGGAGTATATTTTTGATATCTATACACTTTAGAGCAGCTATGAGCAAAATTTCAGAGAATTTCGTTTAGTAGTTTTGCCATTAAAGGGCAATAACCATTCATACTTCGGCTTTTTTTGCACTTGGTCATATAGTTAAAAACAGTGCGAAATTCGAATATCGCTCAAAATATTTTTGGTAAATTTTACGTTTTTGTATTCAGTTAGAATATTCCAACACAGATTATACTGAAAAAGCTTTGAAATAAAGGAACTTGACGAAAAAAAATTAATTTTATTCTTAAAATGTTGTTTTTTACCAAAAAGTTTTAGCCGTCGAATGCTGGCAACTTTTGGCACTCCATGATATTAACAAAATTTCAATATGAAAATATTCTTTGAAGTATCTATTATTACCTATTAATGCGCAAATGTGCGCTTTTTAGTATTTTCAGAGATAACGGTAAAAACGTATGTGCGCTCTGAACAGCTTTTGTACTGTGTCTATGTTCAAATGCCCATAACGTTTTACTGAATTGACAGATTTGAGTCATTTTTGATATATTAAAAATATTTTTAAAAAATCGTTACACAGCCAATAGAAATGTTTTTTTTGTTTACATTACAAAAGTAACAAAGTAGCCATGATAAATTAAAAAAATCGTTGGGAGAACGTAATTCTGATTGGGGGAAGGTTTTTTTAAATGTCTAGAATNCGCCATATTGGATCCGCCATATTGAATTTTTAAATTCTGAGTCCAGATTCGAAATCAGCGACCCCAAAAACATTTATATACCAAGTTTCACGAAAAAATGTTTTGATTTCGATTTATGGCCGCTTTTCCTTGATGCCAGCCCATAGTGCAACGCCTGCTTGGGAAATCTGGCTACGCACAAATATGTGCTGGTGCCCCTGCTGGCTATGCGACTTACCAGTCGGTTGGGCGATAGTTGGCTGCTCAATTAAAGTTAAAATTAAAACTTTACTTTGCGGTTTCAAGGTACGCTGGCGAATGCCGCCAATTTATTTTTTCACTTTTGACATAAGCCTAGCAGCTGTCATACATAGAACAGTGTTGCATTTTTAATATCGTAAATTATTGTATTAGATTAGCTTTAAGGTGTGTTCATACAAGGTGATTTATAGGGTTGCAAATTGTATGCTTTTATCGCATTACAGTTAATATACAAATTGATTTTATAAGTGTCTTTAGATAGACATCTGACTGTAGCGCCATATTTTTTTTTAAGTTTGAAAGGTGAAGAAATGAAAATTTTAATTTTCTTAATTTTTTCGGAATTTTGATGACAGAAAATGATTAATTGTTCTGTTGATTATATAACGCCACGCTTTTACAACTTTTTTAAAATTTTAATGTAAAAATGATCTTACCGGAAAACTCGTTGCGTTTATAAAATTACATTCAGGATAAATACCGAAAAAATTAGACAAAGTCCTTTCATTATTATTCAATTGACAAATCATTGCATTAAAATATTTCAGGAAGAGAAAAATATTTCAGTTGAAAACCACTTCTCCTTCGAAAGATATTTTTGGATAGTGTTTTACCTGTCAATTTACTTTTTACAATTTCAATTTACAAAACGAGAGTGAATCTTTAGACCAAAAGCTCTGCGGTTTGCACTTCTTAAGACTTCCACATATTTTATAAGCAGCCTTAAACAGGTGCAAAATGTTGCTCTTTTATTGGTTTTATAAATCGTATGCTTCTAATTTTATAAAGCTCTTATAGTAGTCTATATCTTGACCTTATAAAACATTTAAAGGTCTTATAAGGCGCTGACCCCAGAACATTTAATCAGTGTCAGACCAAAGCCTCTACACAAAGTGCCTCATAAAAGTTTTAAAGGTTTTATAAACTCATGTTGTAGACTACTATAAAATCCTGATAAAACTAGCAACATACGATTTATAAACTAATAATAGAGCTTTTTTTTCTACTACGAAGCCTCACCTCCTTGGGTCCTTTTAGTCTTATAAGGGTTTTATAGACTGTTTTATAGAGCAAAATGGTGACGTATTTTTTCTTCAATTTTGCGGAAGTATACCACTATAAAACTTGTTGTGTTATCCGGGAGGGCGTTTTTCCACCAAATGCTGCGATAGGGTGTTTTCCAATAAAATTCTGAAATAGGGTGTTCTTCAATCAAATTCTAAAGTAGGCCGTCCTTGAAAAGTTTTCTGAAGTAGGGCGTTTTCAAACTGGCTGCCGAGATGGGTCGATCTTTCACAGAGGTATCGTTATGGTTTCTGTGAAATGTGGAATATTATAGACCTGTAGGCTGGATTTTGGGCTCTTTCGATACTCACATCACCTTCCGTTTACTCTTCTGTATCTCGGCCCCAAGTGCTTTCTTAGCGCTTTTTTAGGCTGCTGCTCTGGTCAGCGCCTCAGGTCTGGCACGAGCGCACGTTGCGAGTCTGCACATTCTATGGCAGGCCCTTCGCAGCTCTGCAATTCGGTAATTCCACCAGTGTACCTGCTTTTTACCTGACCATGCTCTCCTCTGTGGCATTGAGGCTTTGCATGACTGGTGTATGCAACGCATCGTTTCGTTCACCAGTTTAGCAGAAATAGTTCTACTGAGCTTAGAATTATTGCTGACTTTTTTAAAACTCTTTATTTTAATAATTTCATCTTGTTTACAACCACTTGCCGGTTGTCGAACTGTCAAATTTCGATTATCGATAACTCTACAGCAGTGGTGCACACGTGAGCCAAATGGAGCCACTCGGCTTTCACGTACAAGTCGTGTGTACGAAGCTATCGAACTTTTGCGACGCTAGCAGCCAGCCAGTTTGCGTTCGCACTTCATGCAGTAAGCACCTCATGTATTGGAAGCTCTGCCAGCGATGTGCACCACTGCTCTACAGCAACTGACGATAGTTGCCAATGGTAATACAAATTTTCTTTCCAGTTGCGTTGCCAGCTGGCAACCGAACCGTGGTTGCGTTGCTATCCGTAATTGACCCATAAATTTCAAGCTTGGAGCTCCAGATTCGTTCTACTCGAATCTTTTGTCATCTGATCTTTGGCCAGTTGACCAAGAACAAGTGCAGTAGCGAATGTAGTCAACTCATCTCAAAGAAAGCACTTAAATATTTACTTTCAAAATGGTTGGCCTGAAAACGAAATCGTGTGCTGTTAAATGCTTTAGTTCGCAGTTGGACTATGATGTCTTCGCAATTGTTGAAACGTAGGTAAACGACGATTTTTTTGACTCAGAATTTTTTGGCCAAAATCTCTTCGCTTTCTTTCGTAAGGATAGGGATGCAATCAGAACGGGCCGCTGAAGAGGGGGTGGTGTCTTGATTGCGGTGCAACGCTAGTACTGCGCATCGCTAATTACACTGGATAATGAATATACCAGGGTTTGAAAAACTGTCAGCCCAGCAGCAACAGCACTACTATTTTTGCTTTTTCTTCGCTTTGAAATTTTTGATTTTCATTCAAACTGATTTGCTTTCGCTGTGACTTTGAAAGTTTTATTTTGCTTTTTTGTCGGCAGTTTATTGAAAACAATTTAGTAAATTGAAGTTACTGCTTTTGATTTGCTGTGATAGCACTTTTCTTGTGCTGAGATTTGCTTGAATATCCTGTGCACATGAAGCTTTGCAGCATGGTGTATTATCGCTGACTCGCCAGGAGTGAGTACACACAAATATTGCAGTATCAATTCCTTTGCCTTGACCTTTCGCTAGCGATTATCTGGTGTGAAATTGGCGATTACCAATCGCTAGCGAATTGCCTAGCAATCGGTAATGCATCGTCGTAGTTGGCTTATGGTCGTCTCTTGTCACCAGAACAACTAAAGGGTAGTGCATTTGTGCATGCATACATATTTCTGCCAATTTGATGTTTCACGATCAAGTGATAGTCGAATTGCTGTTACTTTGCTGCCGCTGCGCTGTCGTTGTGCTTTCACATATTGTTTTTTTAACTGTCTGGTTGCTTTCGAAATTTTACAGCAAAACGACAGCCAAAGCACTTGCTTTTTTCCGAATTGCTGTTGCTTTGCTTTCGATATCATACATGCCGAAGTCAAAGCACAGTAAAAGTAAATCAAATGAAAAAATTACAGCATTTTCAAACCCTGGAATATACCCTTCTCGAAAAATGAAAGTGGCTCTACTCTTATTGATAAAATATTTATAGTTTCCTCATATATTCCGTTTAATAGTGTTGATAGTCTCTTAGAGCTCAGCAGATCACATTGTATCATTACCTACTGACAAATTAGGTGATAACCATATTTTTATTTTAGGAGATTTTAATCTTTGCAACCTTAATTGGTTACAAAGTTACTGCAATTCTGGTCTCACACTACTAATCTCTCAAGTATTTGTGAATATTATTTTAAATATTTTAGGCCTGAACTTGCTGCAAATTAATACCTTTAAAAACAAGCTCGATTGTTGGATCTGATCTTTGTTAGCGACCTAGTCACTTCTTCGGATAAGCATCATATTCCTTTGGTTCTTAACGTAGAATTTTATAAGTTCACCTCTGGAACTTTAGTAGATCGCGGAGTGCTATAATACTTTCAGGTCAGTGGTGTGTAATACATGCTTACTCATGCCGATTCAAAAACGCCCTATTTCAGCACATTTTCAATGTATTTTCAGCTGAGATATGGCATTTTTGAACAGAATTCTGAAATAGAGCGCTCTTCAATCAAAATTCTAAAGTAGGCCGTCCTTGAAAAGTTTTCTGAGGTGGGGCGTTTTCGAACTGGCTGCCGAGATGGGTCGATCTTTCACTAAGGTATCGTTATTGTTTCTGTGAAATGTGGGAAATTATAGACCTGTAAACTGGATTTTGAGCTCTTTCGATACTCACATCACCTTTAGGAATGAGCGAACTGGAATAAGTATTTGCAGGACAAAGCCGGTGTATTTCTACACAAAGCTTGACGGAAGTGTCGGTGTATGGTTCCTTCATGCAAGGCGCCAGCATCAGGCAGCGCTAGCATACAGGAAGCAGTCGAATGTCTGTTAAGCTCCTCGATTTTGGCAATTGAATTTTCCCCGGTCAGACTCATTTGGGAACCAGGCCATATTGATATTGCAGGGAGTCGCGCTGCGGAGAATTTGGCCAGCAAAGATACTGTCGAGTTGTACTCACATGGTATGGAGTGGGAGTACTTTCTCTTTGGTAAGCTTATTGGGAGTATACTTAGGTATTGATTTTCATGCGATATGGCTAAATGTCACATCGAAACGTCACTGCCCTGCAGGGAAAAAATTATCAATTGATTAAAATAACCAACTTATAGTTAGCTATTTTGCGGGATTTCGATAAATAACTAACTTTACTTAGCTATGACAAAAGCAACTTTAAGTGAGTTGTAAAGTTGTGCAGGAGTAATGCAGATGTTATCGTGAGTTTGTTTTCAATCAAGTATCATTTTAAATATCCTCTTAAAAAATACTTGCAATACTCTTTTTTACTGCACTTCGCAGATTCTTTTTCGAGTTCTGGACAAATAAAATAAAGATCGCAATTTTACATTATTATTTTGATGTTATGTCTGATGGAATTCAAATGTGGGACCACCTGCAAAAGAACATGAAAACAAATAAGCAAATATGTAATGTTAAATAAAAAAAGTAAATAAATAAAAATAAAAAATTGATTTTTTTTTTGTTAATTGATAGTTTATGTCCGAAAGCAGTTAGTTGCAAGTTAGTTGACATCTAATGCAGAGGAAACCAGTTCTAACTATTTTGCGGCCATCGCCCTTCAAAAGTAGTTAGTTACGGCCAAAGAAAATAGTTAATAAATAGTAACCACCAGTCCACTGCTAGTTAGTTAATAGTTAGCTACAAATTATTCCCATGTCTTGCAGGGTGTATACAGAACGATGAGGTGGAATAAAAACTGTGCCTTAAGCTGACAAAATTTTGTGAAGCTGCCAAAAATATTTACTTAAGTACAAAATAAGTTGTTCCTTACAAGAATACATAATTTTTATCTTAGACATTGACACTGTTAACAATAGATTGGCGCTTACACATATGTTAGTGTTTGGCCGAACTTCTCCTCCAATTTGTGGCGTGCGCCTTGATTTTTTCACACAAAGGGGAGGGACCTACAGTTTTACGCCGACTCCTAGTGCCATTTTTTATGAGAAGCTGTTAGAAAAAAACCGCTCTTAGAAAGAATTTTTTTTTTAAGTTGGGTTGAAGCGGGCTTGAACCCAGGACCCGCGTAATGGTAACTTCCACTGCTAACCACTACACCACAGTGGCCGCCTTTGACACTGTTATGAAGTTGTAATAACGGGCAAATATATCTCATTTCTTAATTTAGCTATTTTTCTAACTAAATTTTTGATTTAGCTTTTTTTAGCTTTATTTTTTTGTCCACTTAGCCTTTTCTCTGAAAAAGTTCTGGCAACTGGCAAAGATAAAATGTATTTCTAAGTTAAGAGTTTAATTTTCCAAAATCAACATGGATTTGTATCCGGTCGCTCCACAGTTACAAATCTGGCAGTCTTTAGTGAGTATTGCATCTCAGCATTTTCTTCAGGATGCCAAGTTGATTGCAACTACACCGACTTTTTTAAAGCCTTCGACAAAGTTTCGTACATGGCATTGATCGACAAACTCCCATACCTTTGCTTCTTTTCAACCTTTCTGCAACGGCTCAAGTCACACTTGTATCGACGGCGGTGTTTGTAACTGTGAATGCTCGCAATCAGAAACTTTTTGGTTACTTCTGGCGTTCCACAAGGTAGGATTCAAGGTGCCCTGCTTTTTATATTATTTATAAATGAAATCCGTTAAGAATTCTGCTGACATAAAAAATCAGAGTTGGATAACTTTTATTTATATTTAAATATTAACAAATGCTTTTACGTATCATTTTCAAAATCGAGAAATTTATTAAAAACGCGGTATAGTTTATCTGAGTGTAACTTGCAGTCAGTTAAAGAAATCAAGGATCTTGGTGTTATTTTTGATGGGAAATTCTCATTTAGCAGCCATACTAATTGTGTTATTTCGAAAGCATATGCCATGCTTGGCTTTGTGCGGCGGAATAGGACTGAATTTTCCGATCCATACACTTCAAAACTGCTATATACCTCTTTCGTATGCTCTCATCTGGAGTATGCAGCAATAATCTGGCGTCCTTTCCACCAGTTCCATATTGATAGGAGTGAACGCGTTCAGAAAGTTTTTCAAATTTGCCTTAAATTCACTATGCTTCTCTGATTCCATACCCTCATATAATGAGCGCTTATCGCTGCTCAATCTAAAATCGTTAGATAAAATTAGGTCAATACTGTCTTTAACTTTTATTTTTTGCATTACTCAAGAAACGTGTGACTGTCCGCAGTTTTTACGTGGAATAAATTTTAATATATGGAGGTATCTTCGTGCTTCCCTGGGTTTTTATGCTGGAAACTTCAGAATTAATTATGACCGCAACTCACCCATTGGCCAGTCAATTTGTGAATTTAAGCCGAGCTCAACTACTATCGACCTATATTTCTCTCTACCTAAGTAAATTTTTACTAATATTCTTAGTTTTATGCCCCAGGTCAAGCTTGATTGTCTGTAAGGAATTATTGTTTCGTAGACTGATTGATAAATAAATAAATAACCAAACACGGGCAAATATTTTAGATAATCTAAAAATGGAATAATTCCTAAATTTAAGTTTTTGCGAAAAACTAAGGCCTTAACCAACATTTTTTTACCGCGCTTTTATTAGCTTGGGATGTAACTATGTAATATTGTTGCGCCAATAAGATGCAGCAATTTCCATTCTCAAGTTACATACCTGATGACAGTACGAATGGGAATTGCTTTACATTTCCATTTGTACTCTCATCAGGTTACTTTAAGAATTTCCATACTTAAAATAAACTGATGACAGTACGAATGGAAATTATAAAAACGAGGTTTTAGTTTTTTAAACTATATTTATTATTATTTTACAGGAGAAGCAAAAGCATTATAAAAAGAGTATCAAAAACAGGTAGGGGGTTTTAAAAAGTGGTACTAACACTTTAAAAATTTGTACTGAAGGTGTATTTTTATACATCCTACCAAAATCTCTGAAAAACGCAGCTTCGAAAAAAGTGTTGGTAATAAATATATTATATATTGTACTATGTTTATGTTTATTTTTTTTAAATTCATAGAAATATTTCCGGACCAATCATAGATTGGCTTTTTGTTGATTTTTTGAAATGAATTAGTTTACTAAAAGGCTTACACGGATTTTATTTTTGGCAAAGTAGGATTTTCCTTTAATTTTTCGAAAAGTGAAACGCATGTTGTGTCCTCCTGTAGCAAAGACGTGTTCATAAAAAGTGCGCCATAAAAATAATTTTGTCCTCCCTTGACTGTTTTAAAAGTTGCGAAGCCTACCAAAAACATCAACAAATTTAAAAGTTTTTCATAGTTTACCTATACTCTTGCTAAATTTTTGACTTCTAAAATGTTTTCTTTGGAAATCCACATTTAAGTATAATACAACAAAAATTGATTAGTCCTAGTGGTAAAACACCTAACCTGTACTCCGCACCTTAAAAAGTTCGCAAAATTTTCTTTATTTTGTTACACCGTGTTATGTTTAGTGTTTTTAGGGGCTTGGATAACAACCAATAGAATATACCCGCAAAGAAAAATAAACTTGGTATTTTAAGTATGTACGTACTTATGTATACTAGTTTACTAAAATTTTCTTGAGTATTTTACGTCACGAACATCATGTAGGGACAAATTTGTGTAAGCTTAAATTCAGCTTAAAAAATAACTCAATGGTTTCGCTTTTCCATTCCTGCTTATAACAGCTTTTTGACCTAAAAAATAGATATATTTAGACAACTGTAATGTTAGCTAGCAAAGAATATGTAACACCTTCACTGTCCGAAGTGTTGGCAATACCCATCACTTCCAAAGATTTCATGAGAAAGCCAAGGTTAGAACGATCATCAAGATATTTGTTGTCAATTCTTAGAGTCCTACGTTCACGATTTTTGGTTTGCGTATGCCAAACAAGAATTTCTGTACAATTGCGAGCTCTAGGCTCAATTATAGTCAGTTCTAATCTAATGCTTCGTAAAAAGAGGTCTTCTTCATATCCCGCTTTATAAGGCATGCTGGCATTTGGATGTTCAGCCATGTACGCTAAATTTGTTGCGAAACCGGCCATATCTACTGGCCACCGCCTTTCCGCTACCCAAGAATCGAGAAATCCAACAACTTTACCCTGTGTGAACATAACGTTAAATTAATATAGATATCATAACAAGAATATTATTAAAAACTTACTCCCCGAACAACTGGCCCACTAACGGAATACTCTTCAATTAATCCCACTGGAAACATAGAGACGCGTTGCGTATCTCTTATTTCAGAAAAAAGTTTTAAGTCGTATGTATTGTCATCATCACCGAAGTACAGAACACCGTTTGTAATATTCCTTTGTCGTAACCATCGTATTGCTGCACGACGATTTGCCACACCACGAGGCAATGGCTTTTTCTTTCGATAGAATTCTGGCATTGGGCTGGCCAAGTGCGTAAAGGGCAAACCTAGAATTGAAAATGCATAGCTATCTAATAATAAATCTTTAACGAAATTATATTAATTAAAAAAATTAGTATGAAATGGTTCTGTGATGAAATTTTGGCATTTTCGGTATCATACACTGCAGCATCCCTTCTTAATTTGATCTTGTCTTTTCACACAATAACTATCATAACTACGGTGACCATATTTATGAAAGCCGAATACGGGACAAAAAATAAATTTGAAACTTTTTTCCACACTGTTTTCCCTGAAACAATATCCTTATAACATCAAAATTTTGTAGGATAATTTTCTCGAGATTTTTACCCGTAAAATTTGTTAAAAATTTTCGTTAAATTTTAGTATAATAAAGTGCAATTTTAAGTCGGTAAGGCTTACCACTAATTTTTGGCAACTTTTTTTTGTTGACGGTGTTACGCATTTTTTCATTTAAAGTATGTATGTTCGATCTTTTTTTTTTTGAAAGAGAAACAAATGAGCAGCACTTTTCACTCGCACTTTATTATACTCAACTTTAATGAGTTACAAAACTGCAAATCAAATTTTTTTCTAAAGATTCTAATTAAAAAGTTTGAAACTTTGGGGAAACATTGCAGAATTAATTTTTATAGTTTTTGCACAAAGTTGAAAATTGTGTATTAAAAGAGCGGTACTTTAATAAAATAAATAATAAACATTAAATAAACTAAGGAAAAAAAGACAAAACTTACTAAAATGTCGAGTCCTAATTTCTATTTTGGCCACTGTATGTATTCCTCGATTCGAATCATAGGTATTCAGATTAGAAGATTATAACTGTTTATAAAGAAAATTACGATTATATACCAACATCACTTAAAACTCGTTCATAGGCATGCCATTTTAATGAGAAGTTAAGGCGTCAGAGCACCGAATACGGGACAAATAGAGGACATTAAAAGAAATACAGAACATTTGGCGTCCCGTATAATATAAATTAATTAACAGGACAATGGGCCAAAAATAGGACTGTCCCGTATAATACAGGACGGATGGTCACCGTAATCATAACTATCCGACATCAACATATTGACAAGTCTTGGGCATGTATTAATTTATTATTATTTAATTTTAATAAATTTTTATTAAATACAAGTAGACGCGAAATATTTTGGTGCAACATTTTTACCAGCAATGCAGTTCACGATTTTCAGTGACACATTTATCTAGGGCTTTCGATTTCTGCTATCACATTCTCGAGCATTTCGATACCCGGGAAATCGAGTAATCGAGTTCTCGACACAATCTCGGGTATCGCCATTCTCACGAGCAATTTCGAGTAGTTATCGAGACATATGTACGTACATATGTACATATTGTAATATTATACCTTGTACAGTATATTTTGCTTTGCAGACTTTGTGCTTAAGTGCACATTTAAGATACCTACCCCAAAATGCGCATCAGCGGCATTATTTTTAACATTTATAAGGAAACTGCTCCGATACTTGCATTCAACATACCTGCACATTAGCGATACCTGCCTTAAAAATTTGCAACTATTATCAATTATCAAAGAAAGTATTACGTTTACCTGCACTGGCTCTACACTTACCCTAATTTTACAAGCTATTATTTATTTTGCTCATCTCGCAGAACAACGAAAACGGCAATTATTTTATGTAGTTATATAGATAATTAGATACCATTCGGAAAAAATTTCTCTTGCAGTAATTTCTACGTGGTAAGTGCTCCTCCATTATTTGGTTTCATAGGGATTCGGATACCTTCCTCATTGAAGTAGTAAAGAAAATTCGCTTAAGTGCTTTTTTCGGTTAAGCGCACAAGTTTTTCGTGCAAAGAAGGATGGGCAGCTAAGCAAAATATACTGTATATACATTTACTTGTCGGGTTATCTTGTATGCATGAGTACCACAGATTGCCGTAATTTTCGGAACTAAATATTTTTATCAGAGCATGTTATGATATTCAAAACTGATCATTTTCTTTTTGTAAACTTCTGTGTAAGTATAGTTGTATTGTGTATATGTTTGTTTTTTACTTGTTATATCTGAATGATCTGTATATGTTTACTTGTTTTTGGTTATATATATTTTTATATAAAAGTTTTGGAAATTGAAATGAAGGCAGAATGAAAATAACGTTTGAGGCGGTCAGTTCATTCGAAAAACTAATAATTTCTTTAAAAACGGCGTCCTTACAAGCTCAGAAGTGGGATAGGAACGCTCATAAAAATTCGATTTTTTTTTCTTCTCAATTACTTTATAAAAGGACGTTTAACGAAAGAACTTAATATATGAAAAGCGAAAGGCAATGGAGTGTGCAAAAAGGACAGTAAGGAAAATAAAAGGATAGCAAGGACAATAAAAAGGGCTGAAATAATCAACAAAAGGCGAATTTATAAGAAATAATATACAACAATTGGAACAGCAATCTACAAGGAATAGACTCATTCTGCGAGTCTGCGAGAAACTAAATATCTACAATCAATATTACGTGTATATACAATTTAAAAGGAGTGAAGCAGTTTAAAACAAGGATAAGTACAAGCAAAATAGTAGATAAGAGCGAATTTAAACAACTATTTTAAGTAAGTTAAGTAGTGGCGATGGAAGAGCCTATTTTTGCAAAAGACTACTCGTTGTCGCAGCTGCGCGAGTGGTTAAAAACGTTAGGTTTACCTACTCCAGGTTGTAAAACAACACTTGCGTTAAGGATCAGCGAAGTGCCAATAAGTAAGCGTGGCAGTTGTCTGATTGTTCCTGTTGGGTTGGATGAAATGAACGAAAATTCAGCAGACGAGGTGAGAGTGTTGCGAGAGGACGAAAGTGTTTTTGCACGTGAAGTATGCGAAGATGATAGCGCCGCTGCTGTTGTTGATGTTACATGTATACAACGGGAGGCGGAGTTATTGAAGCGTGAGAAAGAATTGCTAGAGAGGGAAAATAAGTTTTTGCGTAGGAAGGCAAATTTTAACACAAATGCGCGTGCGACTTTACCGTGTCAGAGGAACGATAACACGGTATGCAATTCAGTTGAAACTCTCAAAACTTTAGTACCAGAATATAGTGGTGATGACAATATAAATACATGGGTGACTCAAATAGAAAACGTAAGGTTTCTGTATACAGTTGACGAAAGCACAATGCGTTTGTTACTGCTGGGTAAACTTAAGGGTAGAGCGCAACAGTGGCTGTACTCAAAGCCGAATTACGCCGTTGAAAGCTTTGTACAGTTGGTAACTAAGATGAAAGAGGTGTTTGGAAGAAGAGAGAGCAAGCTTGTGCTGCGTATAAAATTTGAGATGCGGAAGTGGCAGCAAAGTGAAGGTTTTAATGAATATTACAACGATAAGGTGATGTTGGCAAATCCATTGGCGTTGGAACAGGAAAAGTTAGTGGGGTATATAATAGATGGTATTACTGATGAGCAGTTACGTATGCAGGGGTATTTACACTGCTATACCAGCAGGGCACAGCTTTTGCAAGCGTACTCTAAAGTGGGACAGAAGATGTCAACAGTTAAGTCAACAACTACATTAGCAGCAAAGTCTAATAGCGTGAGATGTTTCAACTGTAACTCTTTGGGTCACTATGCGTCGAGGTGCCGCAAACCCACTAGGTAAAAGGGAGCATGTATTTCTTGTGTTAGTATGGCACATCGGGTAATCAATTGTCCAGAACGTAAGAAAGCGGTCAATTACGTAGAGGAAAATGAATTTGTAAGATCTTTTTCGTTTGTTGTAAGCCATGATAGTAATTTGTGTTTTTCCTTAGACTGCTTGATAGACTCCGGAAGTCCTATCAGTTTAATACAAAAGTCCAATGTACCTGGCAGATGGAATTTTAATTTGTTTACTTGTGTGAATTCAGAATATTTTGGTTTGAATAACACAAAAGTCCATACGTATGGAAAATTTTTGTGTTATGTTTTGTTGAATGGAAAAGAATTTTCGGTAAATTTTGTGGTTGTAGCTGATGGGACAATGGGCTATTATGCTGTCTTAGGAAGATATTTTTTAAAAACTTGTGGGTATAGATTATTAAGAAAAGATTATTAATGATAAGATGCTAAAATTAAAAGATGAAAGCGAATGTCAGATAGAGACGAACAAAGATGAAAATGAAAGAGAAAGCAAAGTTTGTGAACTTAGTGAAAAAGATCGAAAAATTAAAGTAAATCAAAATGAAAGTTACAGTAGTCAGTTTTTAACAAAAAAGGTAGTTATGAATGAAAGAAATTTTAATGGAAGTGTTGTTGTAGACGAAGATAATTTGGATGGTGAAAATTTGTTGGCTGAAATATTGTTACCTGTTGTGTTAAGCGAAGAAAATGATGTAAACCTTAAGGTTGGGAATAATGTTACTTTTTCGGGTCAAGTGAAAATTAATAATTTGTTTAGAAAACTTTATCTTGGATTGTCACGTCCTCAAGAGCCAAGGGTTAAATGTCAGATGAAGTTAATACTGAATAATGCTAAACCATTTAACTGTCCGCCTAGACGATTATCATATGGCGAAAAACATGAATTACAAAAATTGTTAGACGAATATTTAGAAAAAACGGTTATTAGACCTAGTGAATCTGAATTTGTTTCGCCGATAGTGTTGGTTAGAAAAAAACTGGTGATCTCAGAATGTGTGTAGATTTTAGGAATCTTAACAAGGTAACCGCTAAGGATAATTATCCGATACCGTTAATAGATGATTTGTTGGATAGGTTGGTAAATAAGAAAGTGTTCACTAAATTGGATTTAAAAAATGGGGTTTTTCATGTGTTTATGGATCCAGAGTCGATAAAATTTACCTCGTTCATAATTCCGTTAGGGCAACTTGAATTCTTGAGAATGCCGTTCGGTTTAAGGAATGCTCCGTCAACATTTGAAGGATTTGTGAATAAGGTATTTTCTGATATGGTGAGGCAGAACAAGGTTATTATATATTTAGATGATATAATGATAGCAACAAAAGGTATAGAGGAGCATCCTCAAATTTTATCGGAAGTTTTGGAAAAGTTAGTTGAA